TTCTAAGTAAGTTAAAATTAATATTTCGTTATTAAGGTGATACATTATTAAATAAGTCATTTTTCATCTAATAAGGAATGAACTGGCTTAGGCTTATAAAATTAAAATGCTAAGTATCAATTAACTGACAGTTCATTTAATCTTCTACCAACTTCATTTTACTTACGTTCAAATATAACTATATATATATATTCATTAAATGTCTACTTTTAGAAAATGTGTCATTTATTCATTGTCGAGTATGATCTAGCCTTCTTCATAGATTGAGACTACAAAAGATTCTCCCAGCATGACTCTGTTTGTTTGTTGGAGGGATAGCCTCTTCATCTCCTGCAGATCAATATACACTCTGATGTTTCTGATCAAAGAGGCTTTCCTCGACAAGGCAGCACAGAGCAGAAGTGCCTCCACCTCTCTCCACCTCAAGGCTCTGACTCTTCTTTGTTTAATCATATTATTTTCAGCATTGTAAAACTATCTTTAAGTAGTTGTGCAAAGGACTTGCCTTTTAACAAAGCAATTTATAAGTATCATGCAACTTGATCAATGCTATCCCATTCAACATTATCGCCCATCATTTTCTAACCTGCCCTTTCCTTCACTCTTCTCAAATTTGTAGGATATACATTACATTTCTGGCTGCATTCTCCTCCCCTCTTCTTTTCTTTATTTGCCTACCCCATCCCTTTGACCCCAACCCATCCTTTTCTTTTATATATGTTTTTATTGTGAAGATACTGTACAGACGGTTTACAGTTACAGGAATAAGGTAATGAGTATTTTTCCTATTGAGCATTGTTACCCCCTCCTTGGTTTTCCCCTACCATCCCTTTCATCCCCACCTTCCCAATTCCTCCCCCCACCAAGTTGTAAAGATCTTTTTCACCATAGTGTCTTGTACATCTCATTATTACAATGGGTCATCCTGTATCCTTGTTATTTTGTTATTCCCCTTCCCCTTCCCAAATCAGAAAAAGTTATATACAAGATGCAGGACACCAGCATCAAATACAGTGAAAACAGGGGTTATACCATAGGGAAGAACATACAAAAGAAACAAAAAAATCATAGTACATAGTACGTAGTACATTAAAAATACATTAAAAAACAATAGATAGTCCCTATCTTGGGGTTCATTTCACTTAGCATCATCTTATATGGTCATATGTACATAGCTTTTGACCTTTTTGGCTTGTCCTAAACATATGCTAGTTATTGCAAATAAGGGAAACCATGGGACCTATGTTTCTTTATATAATTTTTTTCCAAGTCTTTCCATTTCCTAACAAATGAGATGGTACCATACTTTCTGATGGAAGCATAGAATTCCATTGTGTGTGAATATATATATATATATACATACATACCACATTTTCTTGATCCATTCGTCTACTGAGGGGCATCTGGGTTGGTTCCATATCTTAGCTATGGTAAATAATGCTGCGATAAACATAGTTGTGCTGGTAGCTTTAGTGTGGTCTTGTTTGTGATCATTTGGGTAAATGCCCAAAAGTGGGACTGCTGGGTCATAGGGAGCTCTATGTGGAGTCCTTGGCGGGACCTCCGTACCCTCGCACTGACAGTGCAGTGGGCTCCCTTTGGGCCGCTTCCCCTCCAGCATCCAGTGTTGCCCTGCACAATCCATCCCCCGCTCTCTCTATGACTTCACCTTTCTGTCATTAGCGTGTTCCATACCATTAAGACCTAAGCCACCCAAGGATGGGAAACTATCAAGTCCCTCCAAAGCTGGGACAAGCTAGATGTCTGTTCCAATGAGTGACATAGTAAAGGGCGGATATTAGCAATTTTCACCACAATGGGAACGTTTGCATCCCTGCCTACACTGGTCAAATATAGTAGTGATGCCAGAAAAAAAATAAACTAAAAATTACACTTAAAGCCACGAGCAGGTGGCTCATTCTCGTGACCTCAGCTATTTCAGGAGGCTGAGATCTGAGAATCACAGTTCAAACCTAGCCAGGGTAGGAAAGTTTGTGAGATTATCTCCAATTAGTTACCAACCTGAAATGGCACAGTGGCTCCAAGTGATAGAATACTAGTCTTGAGCACAAAAGCTCAGAGACAGTGCTCAGGCCCTGAACTTAAGCCCCAGGACCTGGACAGAACAAAAAAGCTCAAGTCTAAAAACAGTAAATTACCAAAGATGTGTATCTTAGAGTACCATAAGTTAAACAGTAAATTTTAATAATGAACATAAATATCCTTTACCTTGTAGAATGGCTTTCTAAACAATTTCTTTAAAAAAATGTTCCCTTTTCCAGGCTTTTACACTGAGTTTTCTGGGTATATATAATCAAATAAACCTTCCATAGTTCCCAGAGGCACTTGTAATCTAATTTAGAAATATAACAAATCTAACAACATGTCATTATATGAATGAATTTCTTCACTTTAACTTCAGATTTGTGTACACTTGAATGGTGAGATCATATGTACTAATTTATTTTCCCAGTGTCTCTGGGGAATGGACTCCACTTATGTGAGTTTTTACAAACACTAGTTTAAATTTTCTATTGCTACTTTTATGCTGTTTAGAAATTCCAGAGATTTCCTGAAATTTCTGAAATGTATAGCTCAACTCCATCTCTTATTCAACAGAGTTCTGAGCATATGTGAACATTTGTTGGAGATGAAAGACCACATTCTGAAAATGTGATGTTGTGCCGGCTTGAAATTTGACATTGGTTTTCTGGGCTGTTTGATGTTTGTTGAGTTTATTTAGATTTCAGTCTCCTGTCTTCCTCCTCCTCCTCCTCCTTCTCCTCTTCCCCTTCCTTCTCTTCCTCTTCATCATGTTTGTCTTCTTTTCTTCCTTTTTAACTTCATTCTACGATGTATTTAGAGTATGAGCTGAGTTCCAAGCCCTATTCAGATGAACGGAAAGTTAGAGTTTAGTAAATAGATTTTATTCCCAGGGAATTTTTGACCTGGTGGGGGATTCAGTCAGATAAGAGTACTTGAGTAAAACCATGGTGATGGTAATGGCTGAGGAGAAACATGAATCTCAAGGTGATGGTCTCAGCCAGGTGGTAGCAAGGCCTATCTTCAGTTAGTTGTTGAGCAGAGACTTCAGAGAGGAGAAGACAGAGACATAGCATTCCGAATAGAAACTGTGAAAGCCACGGGCGGGAGCACACTTGCCCCTGGAGGAAGAGTAACAGAGCTGTTCTGTCTGAATAGTGAAGGACCAGGAGGCAAGGCACCGCCAAAGGCAATGACAGGCTTCAAACCTGATTCCAAGAGATGGAGAACAGACCTAGTGTATATTTTACATTTTCTAGAATATTCATTTAACTGGAGTTAAGTCACCAATGATACTGGAGAAATAAATCATTATTAATTTTCTTACCAATCAAGTACATGGAAATCTGCAGTTAAAATGGACAGATCCATTCTCCTAGAGTGTTGTTAGATATCTTATTTATTTATTTTTTAGGGGGGGTCCAGTTGTGGGGCCTGAACTCTGGGCCTGGGCACTGTCCCTCAGCTCTTCAGCTCAAGGCTAGCACTCTACCACTTGAGCCACAGCGCCACTTCCGGCTTTTTTTTCTTTTTGCTTATGTGATACTGAGTAATCGAACCCAGGGCCTCAGGCATGCAAGGCAAGCACTCTACCACTGAGCCACCTTCCCAGCCCCTAAATATCTTATTTATTTTTGTTATTCAGCAGCACCTGTAGGAAGATGGCACATGAGCATGATTATATTCTGCACCGAATTAAATGTCAAAGTATGAAGACAGTCACAATCTGTTTCGAAAGTATCTGTTTACAAAACTGTCATATAAAGTGAAAGATTTAGTATTCATTGAGAAGTTTCACCATTCGGATCAGCAGTTGTCCCCTTCCCTTGTCATTTAGATTTTTATGTCTTTCTTAGCTGCTATATGAGGAAAGATACCTGGGGGGGGGGGGGGGAGGGTTGGGAAGGGGGAGAGAGGGAGAAAGTGGGTTGGTGAACTCTTTGACCATAGCCATTGCTGGCAGCTAGCTGCATGGACCAGGTTGACAGCTACAATGATGAGGTGCATTGTGAGATTTTAAGATCTTCCAGGATGCAAAGCAGAACAAACCCTCAATGGAACCTACCTGAGGGGAAAGAAAACTGATGACAGCTCCAAACGCCTACTCTTTGACCTTTGGGGAAAATGTACACATTTGAACAAATAACGATCTGTCAGAGGAACTAGAGCACAAGCAGCTAATGAGTCAGGAGAACGGGGTTATTAAAAGCACTGGGAAGCTGGGCACCAAATGTTACTAACAGAACTGAGGTATCATCCAGGGCAGGGAATCATTTGAGTATATTGGAAACTGATTCATTTTTTTTTGGATAATAATACTTTTCAAGTTGCTGATAATTCCATGTTCTCCCTTATGAACATCTGTCTCTTTTGTTCATTAGAGTAAGACACCATATTAGATTGACCCCCTTGCATCTTTAAGTACACTAGATGGTATCACCATCTTGGTATGATGGTGTACTGGTGTACATCTTTATGGCAGGCAGCTGAAATCTTACTCACATAGATTAGCAATGGCCTGTCTTATCTCTTTGTTGTGCCCTTGATAGACTCCTTCCTCATTTTGTTCTACTCTGAGCTCATTGTGTCTCATCCCTGAAATACATAAATAGCTCAAGCTTTCCAACATACCAAATACGAAAATGTGGTATCACAAAAAGCCTCCGTTTTATTTGTGTTTCTTCGATACCAGGTGCAAGGTAGATCCCTTAGAGACAACTCATTTTGCTGCACTTACACCTCTAACAATCAGAAGTTCTTGTTGAAAGTGTTCCTTTTATTTAATATATCGGGTACAATCGAGTTACTGAAATTCTGGCTGCTAATTGTTTCTGAGACTTTAAAATTTCTACTGTCTCTTGTATTTTTTTTTAACCAGCACGCGCTCTTTCAAGAGCAATCATTATTGCGATCATTAATTTACAAGTGTCCTTAAGACTCTTGTCTTGTCTTTTCAGAAAAATGTGACGACCCGCTGGTCTCTGGCCTCCCCCACTCCGCGTTCAGCAGTTCCTCCTCCATGTCAGCCAGCTACGCTCCCGGCTACGCCAAGATCAACAAGCGAGGCGGTGAGGCCCTTTTCCAGTTCTTTGCCAATAAGCATGTTAATAGAAACCTGTGATGTTTATGTCCACACTTAAAAGTATAGACTATCGGGCTGGGAAGGTGGCTCAGTGGTAGAGTGCTTGCCTTGCATGCATCAGACCCTGGGTTCGATTCCTCAGCACCACATAAGCAGAAAAAGCCGTCAGTGGTGCTGTGGATCAAGTGGTAGAACAGTAGCCTTGAGCTTTAGAGCTGAGGGACAGTGCCCAGGCCCAGAGTTCAGGACCCACAACCAAGAACAATGACAAAAATAGTATAGACCATCACACAACACATATTAACAAGCACCCCAAACCATGCTTGCCAGTTCTACTAGAAGACACACAAACACCACAGATGTCTTGGAAAACAAACGGTAAGCCAAACTATTGATGTCATCAGGACAATAAATCCAAAATATTGTGGACATTCTGAGTTCAGGAAAGCTTTCTTCAACAGAAAATCAAACCAGGTGCTGGGGGGGGTCTCACACCTGTAATCTTAGCTCCTTGGAAGGCTGAATCCAGCCTAAGCAGATAACTCTGAAACTTTGATCTCCAATTAACCACAAAAAAGGTGGAGCCATGGATTAAGAGGTAGGGCTCCAGCCTTGAGTGAAGAAGCTAAGAGACAGTAAGAGGCTCTGAGTTCAAGCCCCATCACAAGTGCACGCACACGCACACACACACACACACACACACACACACACACACACAAAGCAAACAACAAAAAGAACATCAATAGAACAACAGCAATAAAACAAAACAAAAAATCACTTTAAAAGATGCTTAAAATGATGAGTGTACTGTATATGAAGAACATACTGTCCTATACTGCTTTCTTCTCTTTTTATTAATAGTGTCTGCTGACATGTAGGATGAATAGATTTGATGTTTTTCTACTTTTCCTCCAGAGCTCAGAATTCAGGTGTGTGAAAGTGTATTAAAGTGAGTTTGAGACTTTAGCAGCATGGTATTCATTAGTTGCTTGTAATTTTGAAGTTAACAGCAGCTCATAAAGAGTATACATTTAGGGGCAAAAATATAAATCTCAGAGGGATCCATATAACTATATCAAGAATTGAAAATCTATAAAGGAAAGACTATTCTCTTGAGTACATGTGAATCACGAAGAAGACCATTAATGTTGACTAGTAAAAACAAGGAAGGCCATGGACAAGAATGAAGAAGAGGGGAGATATGGAAAGTAAAGTTCACAGCGATATTGAAGCCCTTTTAAATAATTCTGTGCTTTGTACTTCAGAATTGCTAAGAGTAGACTATCAGGATTCTCAGCACAAGCATCATTGAGAGTTGTATGAGGCATGAATATATTAGTCAACTACAGTTATTTTTTTGTTATGGGGCTTGAACTCAGGGCCTGAGCACTGTGTCTGAGCTCTTTTGCTCAAGGCTGGAGCTCTACCACTTGAGACACAGTGCCACTTCTGTTTTGGGGGGTGGTTAATTGGAGATAAGAATCCTACTAGGACTTTTCTGCCTGGGATAGCTTTGAACTGCAATCCTCAGATCTCAGCCTCCTGAATAGCTAGGATTATAGGTGTGAGCCACTGGTGCCCAGCTCAGTTAATTATTTTGTAAGTATAAGCATATATCAAAACATCATGTTCATCTTTTAGCCATCAATTTTACCTTAATAATGTTTGGGAGAAAAATAGAAGATACTAAATAAAAAAATCCTTTCAAACAATATCCAGTTCAAGCAATAAAACATAAAAGGAATTAAAAGGGAGGAAGAACAAAGGACAGAACAAAGGAAGAGAGGAGGGAGGGAAGAATGACAGAGAGAAGGAAGGGAGGAAGGGAAGAAGGAAGGGAGAGAGGCAGGGAGAGAGGGAGGGAGGGAGGGAGGGAGGGAAGAAGAAAGGAAGCAAGGAGGGAAAAGACCATTAGCAAATAAAATAGAAAATCCAAGAGGAAGAAGAGAACAAAAGGAAAAGGAGAAGAAAGAAAAAAAATCACCGAAACTTTTTTTCATAACTTTTTAGAAAAACAAAAAAGGAAAGAAAACAAAAAATAGAAGAGTAATGGGGCTGGGAATGAGGCTCAGTGGTAGAGTGCTTGCCTAGCATACATGAAGCCCTGGGTTCAATTCCTTAGTACTACATAAACAGAAAAGGGCAGAAGTGGCACTGTGGCTCAAGTGGTAGAGTGCTAGTCTTGAGCAAAAGAAGCTCAGGGACAGTGCCCAGGCCCTGAGTTCAAGCCCCAAGACTGGAGGAGGGGAAAGAAAAGAAAAAAAAAGAATAATGAATATAGAATGAGAGCTGCAAAAAAAAAAATCTTCAGAATATATGAAGAAGATTTAATCAGCTTTACAAACTACTTTGTGAAAGATACATATGCAAGGTAGAAGAATATAAATAACAGAAAGACATTTTGATTTACAACCAGCATTAATTAAGACATCTTTTTATAGCTTGATTTTCATCAGGTTCTGGCATGAGTGATCTGGTAAATCACAATTAGTTATCAAAATTTCTGCTTTGAGATGTCAGTGTAATGGAACTTTTATTCCTTTTCTAAAGAAGTCATTGAATAGATTGGAAAATATGAAACAAGGAATGAACCATTCCAACATAATAATACTGGAGACCTGCCTAGTACTATGAAATCTCAAACATGCACTTAAACAATGAGAAATACTACATGGTGCTTGACAATAAGAAGATCTCATAGCCTCGGAAACAAGTATCACAGTACTGACGGATCCACAACTGCTCCAATGAGAGGAAGCAGAGCCACAAAAATGTTTCTTTAGGGAGTTTTGAGAGGAGACCATGACTCGGCTAGTATATTGGGAAATGTCAAGCTACTCAAGTACACCACACATCAGGAATACAATCCATAGAGTCTAGCCAACAGCAAGAGGAATGAACATGAATAAGGAAGAAGCCATGGCTAGCCAGGCCTGATCCACATGCCCACAATCCAGCTTACTCAGGAAGCAAGAGGATCCGTCCTGAGTTCTGGGCCAATTCAGGATAAGTTAGTGCGACCCTATGACAAAAAATAAGTGCAGGAGAACCAAAGGCCTACCTACTGAAATGGGAGAGCAATGGCCTATTACGTGCCGGGCTCTGGGTTTCATCATTAGTAATATAAAAAATTAATTTTAAGGAAAAATAATCATGGCCCAATAACTGATATCGACCAATAAATCTATGGCTTATATCCCTTATAACACTGTGGCCAAACAATGAAAGTGACAATTAAGAGAACTAAACAGATGGTGTCCTACCCCCATTTTCTTATTCTCTGATATACCATTATTATATAACTATGAATCTATAGTGGAGGTGTTATCTGTTGAAGGACCATTTGCCTTTTAAGAACCGATGCTTAGTTCTCTGTTGAGTTTTTGCCAAGTTGATTTATCTAGTTGGGATAGTGGTGTGTTAAAGTCCCCATCAATTAATGTCTTTGGATCTATGTGAGCTTTGAAGGAAAGTAGTGTTTCTTGGATAAATTTGGTGCTCTGTTTTTTGGTGAATAGATATTTAGAATTGTAATATCCTCCTGAAGGAGAGATCCCTTAATTAGTATGTAGCGACCTTCTTTAGCTCTTCTAATGAATTTTAATTTGAAGTCTATTTTATCTGATATTAGGATTGCAACTCCTGCCTGTTTATGAGGGCCATTTGCTTGGTAGATTTTGTTCCAACCTTTCACTTTCAAAATGTGTTTGTTTTTATGGGCAAGGTGTAACATATTTATAAGATGATTTCTTTGTTGCTTTGTATGTCCCTCCCCCACCAGTATAACCCCTGTTTTCACTGTATTTGATGTTGGTATACTTCGTGGAAGGGAAGGGAAAAAACAAATTGTTTAAATAGGGATACATGTGGACCCATTACAACAATGAGATGTACAAGATGTTACGTCGAAAAATGAACTTTACAACTTTGGTGGGGGGCAGGGAGATGGGAATGGCAACAATACTTGTTAAGAAATGTACTCACGGGCTGGGAAGGTGGCTCAGTGGTAGAGCACTTACCTTGCATACCTGAGGCCCTGGGTTCGATTCCTCAGCACCACATAAGTAAAAAAGAAAAAAAAAGCTGGAAGTGGCACTGTGGCTCAAGTGGTAGAGCGCTGGCCTTAAGCTGTGGGACAGCACCCAGGCCCAGAGTTCAGGCCCCACGACCAGACCCCCCGAAAAATGAAATGTACTCATTACCTTGCCCATGTAATGGTAACTCCTCTGTATGGTATTTTCACAATAAAGAACAGATGCTTGAGAACAGAAAAATCTAAAAGGTGAGTTTCTTAGCACTTCAGGGTATTTGACATTCTGTGTTGACTTGCCCTACTTCTTTATCTTCAATTTGCCCTTTTGCTAAACCCACTGAATTGGCCAACTCAGAGGCAAAGTGGAGAAATGGGAAGAAAATGGTTTTGATTCATTCAAACCTACGTGCCAACACTGCACCAGACGTGGATAAATAGGATCTCAGTATGTGTAAAATATATCTTTATATATGTGCAAAGCATGCTATCATAATAAGGTATTTTTAGTAATTTCAATGATCTTATAACTTAAATTAACCTAAATTTTTCCAAGCCTTTTCATTTCAAAACTTTCAATTTAAAGAAAGGAGATTATGCCAGGTGCCAGTGGCTCACTCCTATAATCCTAGCTACTCAGGAGGCTGAGATCTGAGGATCATAGTTCAAAGCCAACCTGGGCAGGAAAGGCCTGTGAGACTCTTATCTTCAATTAACCACCAGAAAAGCAGAAGTGGTACTGTGGCTCAAGTGGTAGAGCACTAGCCTTGAGCTAAAGACAGCGCCCAGGCCCAGAGTTCATCCCCATGACTGACAAAAAAAAAAAAGAAACCCAAAGGAAAGGAGATGATGTTGTTGGTTTTGAAATATTATTTTGTTCTTAGTATCTTAAAATCATTAGAATTAGATATTCTAAAAAATATTATAGAACCAAACATTTATATATTAGTTGTATG